CATAGCTGGGCTGCGGAGGAATGTGTTCTCAGCCAGACTGTTTCATTCTTACCTAGTCAAGAATGTGGGAATTGTTGGGAGACTTGGACTCTGACTCATCTTCTAGAATGTTTTATGATGAATCAAGTTAGCTTGATGGGCAACTGTCAAATATGGAAGTGTCACAGGCAACGAGTAAATGTGTCACTATAAATACTGAAAATGCTACAGAGTTAAGCAAAAACCTTTATGAATACAACTGTATGGCAGAATCCTAGAGAGAGGTGATTCCTTAAAGCTTTAAAATGATTTATATAAAAAGGTTTATTAAAGGAATGATAGAAAACAAGTAAAAAGAAGAAGACATTTATAATATACCCCCTACACTTAAACCCTGTTAACATTTCAGTATGGTTTACCTAGTACTCTGTCACCTCTCTTTCACTTAACAGTGTTTTCCATGTCAAAAAATATACTTCTGCAAAATTATTTTTCATGGCTGCATGGTATTGTATCATACATATGTGTCAAAATATATTTCTTTATCATCCCATTAGGTTGTTTACAGATCATTGCCATTGTACACAATGCTGTTAAAAACTTACCTTGACTGAATTTCTGTGCACCTGTTTATTTCAGAGAGTAACTTTTCTAATTGAAATTAGAATTGGAATTACTATGGCAAGAGTTATGTACAATTCAAGGCTTATTATGTACATTATCAAATTGCCCTCTAAAATATTGTTGCAATTTATATTACTACCAACAGTGGATAAGAGCAGAAGAATGTTTAAGAATCCATAGTCTACAAATGTGGTTATAGAAAATTGACTATATTATCAAAGTATGTTTAATCTTGACAGCTGTTCGCAAAAAGGGGCCCTTAAAATATTATTTTTAAATCCTCCATCCTATATTTCATGCCTTATGCTAAAATCATAAGTATGAGAATTTCACCTTAGATTTCTTAGAAAAGAGTTGGAGACAGATTCACATATTTTACTAAATGGGTTCATTAATATCATGGGTGCTAGGATAAGATCCATGGATAATACATTGGATATCTGCAATGAGTTCCTCTGTTGACAGAATATATTGAGATCTGCCATTGATATATCCAGGCCTTGCTATATGGCTGTGGTGAAATATCCGTTCACGTCTTTAATGATCCTCTGAATAGGAGGCAACTTCTCATTTGTCTAGAGAAAACCGAGAAAACTTTTCAGCTGAATTGACTTATGTAAACTGAAAAAGACATAGATGAAATAGTCAAGTGTCTACTTAAATATATGTAATGTACTAATTTAGACATAAATAATACTTTAAAACACATATCATACATAGAGTATTTTTAGAAGTATTTCTTTTTTCTCAACCTTACAGTTCATGAAGCAGTTTTAGTTCAACTGCCCCCTCCCATGCATTCTTGACATCACCTTTTCAGGCAGTTGGCACATTTCCACCAGCTGTCATCTGGAATTTAGTCTAAGTGGTTTTGGGGTACAGGCTTCTGAGACTGTATGATGCCATCCCTGGAAATCTTTTCTCCAGCTTAAAAACCCACTTACTACTCATGGTCTCTAGTAACCACTTACTCTGTTACTTTTTCTTAGTGATCTTTAAAATACTTGTTTTCAACAGTACTTTGAATTATTAGGTCATGTCTCCCAAAATAATTACTAACTCCATATTAAATTCCTTGACTTCTGTTTTTACTGGTTCCATCAAGTGAATGGCTGCTAAAACTATTGAAAATTCTCATCAATTGGTGTCTTAGGTTTAAGGCAACTTCCTTAAACTGTGCTTCATAAAAAATAAAGTGAGAGAGTGCCTGATATTATGAGAGACTTTATAAGGACTTTAGATAAAATGCCTCTTTTTCTGAGGGATAATTATGCAGAAGAAAAATCTCACCTTACATTCATCCATGTATTATAGTTTAAACAGAAAGAGAGGGGATCTATACAAATCTCTTTTGTGTTCTTATGCAAAGTGACTATTGAATATGAAAGCTTTTGTCCACCTATAAAAAATATCTTAAGAATACAGTAGGATTGTCATGCATTTACCTTGTATAGAAACACTGAAAATATAGGTTTGTGGAGCCTACTTCTTTGAAATATTCACATTGGAATTTTTTAAGAACTACAGCTTCTACCCAATTAAACATCCTTCCAATCCCAAACTGTGTCTACTTTTATTTTAATACAAAACAAACCAATCAACAAACAAAAAAGCAGCAGAAAATATTTAGAATAGATATTCTCTTAAGGAACCATTAAAAAGCTGGAAATAGAACTGCCATATGACCCAGCAATCCCACTTCTGGGCATACACACCGAGGAAACCAGATCTGAAAGAGACACGTGCACCCCAGTGTTCATCGCAGCACTGTTTATAATAGCCAGGACATGGAAGCAACCTAGATGCCCATCAGCAGACGAATGGATGAGGAAGCTGTGGTACATATACACCATGGAATATTACTCAGCCATTAAAAAGAATTCATTTGAATCAGTTCTAATGAGATGGATGAAACTGGAGCCCATTATACAGAGCGAAGTAAGCCAGAAAGATAAAGACCATTACAGTATACTAACACATATATATGGAATTTAGAAAGATGGTAACAATAACCCTATATGCAAAACAGAAAAAGAGACTCAGATGTATAGAACAGACTTGTGGACTCCGGGAGAAGGTGAGGGTGGGATGTTTCAAGAGAACAGCATCGAAACACGTATATTATCTAGGGTGAAACAGATCACCAGCCCAGGTTGGGTGCATGAGACAAGTGCTCGGGCCTGGTGCACTGGGAAGACCCAGAGGGATCGGGTGGAGAGGGAGGTGGGAGGGGGGACCAGGATGGGGAATACATGTAAATCCATGGCTAATTCATCTCAATGTATGACAAAAACCACTGCAATGATGTAAAGTAATTAGCCTCCAACTAATAAAAATAAATGAAAAAAAAAAAAGGAACCATAGTCAAAATTTTTGGAACTCAGAATGAAGAATTTAGAGAATGGAGTGGCTAGATTTCCCTGTAGTGTTTCTCCCTCTTTAAAATATGTTATATTGTTTCCATTCTTTTCATCCAAGTATTTCCAAGAGAATCAGAGTAAAATAACCTATGTTACAGATTAGGTGACAACTATTTGTTCGATGTGGTTGAAGATAGCATATGGGATATTCTTTAAACTATTTAAAATCTTTGTTCTTGCCCATAGCAGTAGAATATATGAGAATTACCCCCCAAAATTTCCCAATAGTACATGTATGTAATACCCATCATCTTAAAAAGCAATGAACATTTTACCACTGCTTTCTTTATTATATGAAGCAAATCAAACTGAGAAATATAGAGCTTAAAATAAATTGTTACAGAACTCTAATTCTATAAGATCTTACAATTCCAGGAGATTATAAATGCTGTTTTAAAATGTTAATCAGAAGATGCATTTGTTTTAATTCTTGATACTGAAAATATTGACTGAATTGTAAATTAACACATTTAGGGTTGCAGATGTCATTTTTCATAAGATTTCCTGAATGATGTAATTTTCATATTTCATATAGCAGTTTGATCAATTTACAGATTTATTTTACATAATTAGTTGGTAAATGAGAAATTCAATTGCTGATATATAACTATTCCTCTGTAATATAGAAAATAAGTTTAAATTCTGAATTATAAATAAAAAGGCAAATATTTTGAAGACATCTGGTCCACATCTGTCTGAAATAAGATAATTTAAAACAGTGTAATTAACTGCAAGAAATACTGAAATAGTCACACCTTAGAATGTAAAAAATAACTCATTCCATTGTAGTGTGATTTTTTGAATTGGTGAATTTTTTTTTAATTTTAGTGTCCTTTAGCCTCTCATTCTGTCATTACAAAGAAGACTGACAAGCTAAACAAACAAAAATAATCCATGTTTTTCAAAGCTTCTACTAAATGAAAGAATTATCTTTATTACTATTCTTTTATGTGTTGACTAACCTCCACTCCTAAGTTAATACTCAGCAGACTTAGACTCAGGCCTATCCCCTTTTGATGTATTTATAATTCTCCATTCAATTATTTAAAATGAGAGATTAGTGAGAGAGTCTGTAATCTCACTCCCTAAATTGTGTGTTCCTTGTGGACACAGAGAGGCTCCGTAAATGTGAGCGGGAGGTATTCAGACTCATGAAAATGAAAAGCATCTTTGGTACATTCTCATGATCAGTAGAGAATTGTTGTTTGAAGACTGATCTTTTCTTTTGTCAAAAACCCTGTGTTAAGTGGAAAATTAACCATTTTAGGAGAAAGGAAAATACGCTAGACTTGCTATGCATGCGTGCTCAGTCACTTAAGTCATGTCCGACTCTGTGCGACCCTATAGACCATAGCCTGCCAGGCTCCTCTGTCCACGGGATTCTCCAAGGCAGGAATATTGGAATGGGTTGCCATGCCCTCCTCCAAGGGATCTTTCCAACCCAGGGATCGAACCCATGGTGTCTCCTGCATCCCAGACAGATTCTTTACTGGTGAGCCACCCAGGAAGCCCAGACTTTCTATGTTCTAACCCCAAAATGTGAAAAAGATGATAAATTTCTCCCTTAATGAAAAGCTGCAGAGCCTTAAGACTTTGATAGGACTGAATTTCAATCCATGATAGAGAAGTTAGGGGTTACCTGGTGGTTCAGATGGTAAAGAATCTCTCTGCAATGCAAGAGACTCAGGTTCAATCCCTGGGTTGGGTAGATCCCCTGGAGAAGTTGGCTACCCACACCAGTATTCTTGACTGGAGAGCCCCATGGAGAGCCTGGCAAAGTTAAATTCATGAACACACACAATGATAATGCTACAGTGTAATGATAATGCTACAGGGTGGGGGAAGATCTCCGCTCTGATGCCAGAGGTTCCCCTCACAGTAGACCGGGAGAGGAATTGAGCCTATGAGAAGTGAAAACACTTTTCCTAATACATGCCCTAAGATGTCACAAGTGATATTTTGTGTTTTTATTTCCAGGGAGCATGATAAAGATCCAGAGAGTTTTTTTAAGATATTGATGAATCTTAAGGATTTAGGACTCAATTTCCACGTATCTGTCCTTGGAGAAACATTCACAGATGTCCCAGGTATCTCTTTTGTGTTTTCTAGTGTGTATTTTTATAGATGACATATGCTCTACAACTTAAGTATTAATTTCCATGTTTCCCTTTGTTAGAATAATCAAGATGAGCACTGTTAAGCGAAAGATTATACGATGGCATTAAAGTGTGATTCAATTAAAAAAATACTTAAGTAAGCATTCTTTGATTTAAGTTGAGAACGTGAAGTCATCTCTTTTATCAAATATAGTTTATACAATGCATCTTGATGTAAATAAAATATATTGCTTTAGGCATCTTAACAGTTAAGGAAAGTGGGAATTCGTAATTGGATATACAACCTCTCACCTCGGGGTCACTGGTTTGAATCCTACTCTCTCTGGTAATGGCTGAAATACATTACCATCTGTTAGGTGGCCTGTGTAAAGCATTTTGGCATCAAACTTGTAAAGTGGAGTAGATCCATATCATAGTTGTCATTGGTCTGTGCTTTTTTAATTGAGAAAGCAAACAGAAATCCGAAGCTGATAGCAGCAAGTCTTCTCATTCCTAATGCCATAGGGAGCTTCTTTGGAACCATTTCCTACACCCTGCATCCTCACTGGGCATGTCTGTGTCAGTAAGACAGGGAATCTTGACCACCATTCTAAACTCTTAAATGTTCATATTTTTTAAGTTTTGGATATTCAGCTTTTTTTGTAAACTCCAACTATGCATGAGTGGGTTCTCAGTTGCTAAGTTTTGTCTGACTCTTTGCAACTCCATGGACTGTACCCCTCCATGTTCCTCCTTGCATGGAATTTCCCAGGTAAGAATACTGGAGTGAGTTGCTGTTTCCTTCTTCAGAGGATTTTCCCAACTCAGGGATGGAACCTGCATCTCCTGCATTGGCAGGCAGATTCTTTACTACTGAGCCACCTAGGAAGCCCAAACCCCGAGTATGCAGGCAAGAAAAGTTCAGAAATGCCCTCTGTCATCCTGCTCTATGACTCTTACTCACGCAGTCGTGTCCAACTCTTTGCAACCCGATGAACTATAGCCCACCAGGCTCCTCCATCCATGGGATTCTGCAGGCAAGAATACTGGGGTGGGTTGCCATTTCTAAGGACCATGTAAACATCACCCTCACTTAGCCAGTACTTTGTGATTCAGGTATGATGTGAGGAAGTACACCCAGCTTGTACCTCAGTCGCCTCATCTGATATGGCTCATCCTCTGCCCCCTGCACTTGTGGACACCAGCCTCTTTTTAGTTCCTCTAAGGTTCAAGCTTCTTTAAACCTCTGGACATTTGCCTATTTGTCTGTTATTCATTTGATCTCAGCTCAGGTGTATTTTCTTTCAATGTGAAGCTTTATCATGGTCTCATGGCATGCTATACTTTGACCTTATGATACTTTCCTTAGTTTCTAATCATATAATTATGTGAAATTTCTTATCTTACTGCCACACACACACACAAAGGAGAACATAGGTGCTGGGTAGACGCGGGTTGTGACTATCTCATTCATCACTGTTTCTCAAAGCCTAGTGCAGTGCCTGACACAAGGCTGGAACCTAGTGAATGTTGGGTAAAACTACTGTGAACTTCCTACCCTCAAGCAATTTATAGTTTTCTTAAAGAAGGAACAGTTTTGCATAAGAAGAGGAAATAGGAAGGGAAACACAGAATAATATAATTATACATGAGTACTGACTCATATGGCTTAGAGTAGAATGTTAATTGAAGGGCTAGCACTTGAATGGCCAGAGAATTAGGATATCCCAAAAAGGGAAACATGGGAAAAGCATGGAGAAGCAAATATTACAGGTATCATACTGAAATGAGAGGACAATTTCAGGGATTAGTGCTATGAGATCCCTAAGTAGGATAGAAGATTCTGCATACAAAATTTAGTGAGTAAGTAATACATAGACAGGTAGAGCCAGAGTATGGAGGATCTGCAAAGTAGGTTAGGTAAAGGTAAAAAATAGGGCGCCTTGGTCTTGAACTGGAAAGACATATGATGAAACCTGTATTTTAGGAAGATTTATGTTGCAGTGATATGTAGGCAAAATCACAGTAAGAATCCACAAGCATGGATTCTGTGAGGTGATTTGTTTTTGTTCAGTCGCCATGTCATGTCCGACTGTGACCCTATGGACTGCAGCACGCCAGACTTCCCTGTCTTCCGCTATTTCCTGGAGTTTGCTCAAAATCATGTCCATTGAGTCAGTGATACCATCCAACCATCTCATCCTCTGTCGTCCCCTTCTCCTGCCCTCAATCTTTCCCAGCATCAGTCTCTTCTAATGAGTCAGCTCTCTGCAACAGGTGGAGCTTCAGCTTCAGCATCATTGTGGTGATTGGTGGTAGAAAGATTTGTGAGAGGGCTGTAGGAGAAAGAGATTCTCAAGGAAAACACGGGAAAAAATTTGGTAGATGGATGGCTATCAAGAAAGAAGGAAGAAAAAAATCAGCTTATTTGCCAAGCTGGTGATTTCAGTCTCATTTGTGCCAGTGTTGAGGTGTTTGTGGATGAACTGAGGAAAGTGGCTGGAGAAGACTGCTAAGCAGAAGGCTTCTCAGCCAGCTTCACTGTTGGGTAATTTTAAGCCACCACTACAAAGAAGACTGGGTTTTTCCTCAAAGGGCCATGATTTTGGAATCACAGCTCTTCCTTCCCACCCGTTTAGCAATTTAGAGCAGAATCGGGGGGGATTGAAAGTGGGATGGGGAGCAATTAGGGGCCTGAGAACTGAGTGCTCAGTAATTACAGGCTCAGTCTTTTACTCACTTTGGCCTGACCTCAACACATACTTATTGAGCACCTTGGAAGAGGGATTTCACAGTGAACGGGATGCAGCCCGCGCCTCAGGGAGCCCCGCCTTGGGGAGACACTTTCGTATAATCAACACATACTAGGATGCCGTGGATCACTATGGGATGCTGTGAAAGACCATTGGAAGAGTCCTGTTACCTATGCACACACTTCTGTTATTCCCAGTTTCAACTGGTACTCCCTTCTGCCTTCGCCTCTGGCCCATCTGTCATGTCAAACGTGAATCAGCTCTTTAAGGCTGCAGCTCTTCATCTTGCACATGGGAAGAGCACGGTTGTTGGCTTGATGCACGAGTCTGATGGCTTTCCACGTTGTGCTCCTAGATGGCCACATTGCCAGTCTTTACTTCAAAGGTTTCCTGACAGGACATTTCGTGTAACTTCAGCTGTTTTTATCACTGTTCGGGCTTGGTGAACACTAATATAGCACTTGGTGTATTTCAGGCATTGTTCTAAGCCATTTATAAATGTTAACTCTTTAGCCTCTTAGCAGTCTTGTTCAGCATTACTATTTCCATTTTTCTTAGTGGGGGAACAGACACAGAGATGTTAAATGAGGTAACATAACTGTGTAGTGTTTTTAACCACTGTGCTATGCTACATTTCCATTTTCTTGTTTTCTGACCCAAGTGTTTCTCTAAACATTTTTTCCCCCAGCTCACCATCTAGCACTTCACACAAAGGGTTACCTAGCAGGTACAGAGGAGCCTGGCAGGCTATAGTCCATGGGGGTCACGAAGAGTCAGACAGGACTTAGTCACTAAGTCATTTCTTTGCCTGCTGCCTCTCCCAGGTGCTCTGTTAGTGTATCGAAAACCCATACTTTAACACCAACCTCTCTCCATTGAAACTATGCAGTTTCAGCCAGAAGAAGAACTCTAGACACTGTTAACATTTATGAGGAAGTGGCTTTCTTCTAAATAATTGCAAAAATAGTTATTATTACCCTGTTCATTGCTCCTGTTGACAGAATAGAAGCAGATATTTGCTACTTGCTTGGTCCTTTGTTGAGTTATTTCATGTAATGCTGATGATAATCCCAGTGGAGTATGTATTATTATCCCATTTGATAGATGGAAAAACTGAGTCTTTGAAAGTTTGAATCAAACTTTGATTATACTGTTTGTGGGTCAAGTTTTGTCTTTCACAAGCAAAACCAAGACAGGTTTAATACATGATGGCAGGGCCATTAATTACTCTTTTTCCCTTGAGGTATGATTTACATTTAACATTGTATACATTTAAGGCATACAGTGTGATAATTTGATACATTTACACATTGCAACACAGTCATCAGTGTAGTTCTAGCTCTCACATCACATAATTATTTCTTTTTTGTGATAAGAATATGTAAAATCTAGTCTTCAAGCAGTTTTGAAGTTATATAATACAGTGTTGTTGACTATAATGACTATGCTGTACTTTTATTGCATTATAATATACATACCATATAATCCACTTGCTTTGCTTGTACATTTCAATGATTTTTGGTATATTTACAGAATTGTGTAATTATCACCATGCATAGAGTTTGTTTGACTGGTTTTTTTTTTCGGCCATGGGGCATGTGGGGTCTTAGTTCCCAACCAAGGATTAAACCTGCACCCCCTACAATGGAAACAGAGTCTTAACCACTGGACCTCCAGGGAAGTCCCCACTATGCTCTTCATTTGATCTCCAGGATTTATTCTTACTCTGCTTGAAAGTTTGTACATTAATGACTCTTTATTCAACTTGTTTCTCCTTTCGTCTGCATAGAGCTTGTAGGAAAAGGTAACATATCTCTGAGCAATGGCATTAGCACCAGTGAGTTTTACTGCCCTTTTTGATGCAGCAATCTCTTTTAAATTTCTTTTAAAAATATTAAAACCACAATAGAGCAACTTTGTAGAGTTTTCATGCTGTTGATTGTTTTCAGTTTATGTTGTTGCAAGGTTTCTATCATCCTTTTTTCTGAAAAGTGTGGTAGAGTAAGATTACTGATTCTAGTTCATTTATAACTACATAGTTTATAGCTCTTTCGTATCATGCTTTCATCTTAGAAAAGAGGAGCATGACCTAGGACAGTGACAATCCCAAGTGCTTAGAGCTGAGCACAGTGTGAGGCAGCAGTAGATGGTTGCACGGTTAGGAGTAGAGCATGAGAGTTAGTCCCCTCATCCCTACTCACTTCTGCGTGTGTTCAGTAAATGTTTTCTGCTGTTGTT